TCCGAGGCATGGCCTCCCGTGTCCTTATCACTGGTCTTCCCCGGTCTCTCCCTCCCCTCCCCCCGGGGCCTGCCCCTACCTGCGTTCCTAGCGTCGAGGGGCGGCAGCGCGCCGCTCCCCACTCCTCCGAGTTCCCTCTGACGCAGGCTCCCTTGCAGACTCTTCACATGGACGTGTGGGGCCCAGCCCGCGTCCGTGGACAGGGTCACGAGCGCTACTTTCTGCTGGTCGATGACGACTACTCGCGTTACACCACAGTCTTCCCCTTGCGCCGCAAGGGTGAGGTCACTGAGGTGCTGATCGATTGGATCCGCGCTGCCCGTCGTCAGCTCAGCGAGAGTTTCGGCTCGGACCTTCCTGTTCTGCGTCTGCACTCCGACAGAGGTGGAGAGTTTTCCTCCGACCTTCTGCGAGCCTTCTGTCGTGCGGAGGGCATCCGCCAGACGTTCACGCTTCCGGCCTCCCCACAGCAAAATGGGATTGCTGAGCGCCGCATTGGCATGGTCATGGACGTCGCTCGTACGTCCATGATCAATGCGGCTGCACCCCATTTTCTGTGGCCGATCGCAGTTCAGTACACAGCGCATCAGATCAACCTCCAGCCTCGGGTCTCCATGCCGGAGACCACACCTACTCTGCGGTGGACGGGGAAGGTTGGCGATGCGTCTGCGTTCCGTGTCTGGGGATCTCGAGCTTTCGTCCGCGACTTGTCTGCGGACAAGCTGTCCTCCCGTGCTGTTCCCTGCGTCTTCCTTGGCTCCCCCCCTGACGCGCCTGGTTGGCAGTTTTACCACCCCACCTCGCGTCGTGTTCTGTCCTCTCAGGACGTCACGTTTGACGAGTCGGTTCCTTACTACTGTCTCTTCCCCTACCGCGCTGCCCCCCTCCCCCCCCCCGCCGCTCTACCTTGCGCCAGGTCCCACCCCGGTAGACCCCCTCCCCCCTTAGGGTCCTGCCCCCTCAGGTGTGTCCCAGGTAGACGCAGTCGAGCCTGTCGAGGTAGCTGTTGACTCTGGTGCTGCTAGGGGTGCTGAGCCTGCGGGTGCCGGGTCTGGGGGTGCTGAGCCTGAGCGTGTGGAGCCTGGGGGTGCTGGGTCTGGGGGTGCTGAGTCTGGGGGTGCTGAGCCTGGGGGTGCTGAGCCTGGGGTTGCTGAGTCTAGGGGTGCGGGGCCTGAGGGTGCTGAGCCTGCGCGTGTGGCGTCTGGAGGTGCTGAGCCTGGAGGTCTCTCGGGTGCTTCGTCCCGACGGGAGCCTCTCTCTCCACAGCAGCTGCGCGAGTGGTTTGCTCGGCGCTGGAGCCGTGCTACTGGAGTTGGTAGTGCTGCGGACGCTGGAGGTCCTGCTGCTGCTGGAGCTGCTGGGGGTTCTGGAGCCACTGGTCCCAGAGGTGCTCGTACTGGAGGTACTGGAGCTGCTGGGCCTGGTGGAACTGCTGGAGCTGGAGCTGGAGCTGCTAGAGGTGCTGCTGGAGTTGGTGCTGTTGGAGGTGCTGGAGCTGGAGGTGCTGCTGGAGCCGTTGCTCCTGTGGGTGCTGGAGTTGGCGCTTCTGGTGCTGCTCGAGGTGCTGCTGGAGCTGGTGGTGCTGCTGGAGTTGGAGCTGCCACTGGGGGTGTTGGTGCTGTCCCTGCTGGTTCTGGAGGAGCTGCGCGGCCGCGGCCGTACTTCGTTCCGCTCCTTCTGCAGGTTCTTGGTCTTCCGCCTTCTACTGGTCCTACTCCTTCCTTAGAGTGTCCACCGCCTGTCCAGTCGCAGTCACAGTTACAGGCCGCCTCCCCACTGCCTGCTCCTTCTCCTTACACTGGTCTGACCGGAGGTCTTACTGAGCTTCGTGAGCCTGAGTCTCGTCCTGCGTCGCCTATTCGTGCTGCTCGCACTGGTCGTCGTGGTTCGCGTCAGCATCCTCCTCCTGTCCCTGGCACGCACCAGATGGCTCTGCGTCCGTCCACTGCTCCGCAGCATGTCCCTCTACCGTCTCCTCCTGCGTCCTCTCTTCCTGCCCTTGCTGACCCGGAGTCTGACTCCCTTCGTGCTGCTAGTCTTACTGTCACGCGTCTCCTGGCCACTGTTGTCACTGACCCTTCCTTTAAGTCCACTGCTGCGTCTGCCTTAGTTGCTGAGCTTTTCGACTTTGCTGCTCACTGTCGTCTAGACTATGCCGCGAGTCTTGTTGCTGAGTCTGCGTCTGTCTGTCCTCCGTCCGTCGGGGGTGAGTGTGCTCTTGGCACGGACGTCCTTGAGGACAGGCAGGAGGAATTTGAGTGCTTTGCAGCCGCTGTACCTCATCTCGTGTCCATGCTGATTGCACCTGAGGGAGACCCGGATGCACCAGACATCCCGACCCCGCGCTCTTACGCAGAGGTGATAGAGGGTCCCTACTCCTCTCAGTGGCAGTCAGCCATGGACGCAGAGATGGCATCCTGGAAGTCCACAGGCACCTACGTCGACGAGGTTCCCCCTCCTGGGGCGAACATCGTCAGTGGCATGTGGATTTTCAGGGTGAAGCGGCCGCCGGGTTCTCCGCCTGTCTTTAAGGCGCGTTACGTTGCTCGAGGCTTCAGTCAGCGACAGGGAGTTGACTTCTTCCAGACCTTCTCCCCGACCCCGAAGATGACCACTCTTCGGGTTCTGCTGCACGTCGCTGCTCAGCGTGACTACGAGCTTCACTCTCTTGACTTCAGCACTGCTTTCCTACAGGGCAGCCTGCACGAGGAGATCTGGCTGCGCCGCCCACCTGGCTTCACTGGGTCGTTTCCTCCTGGTACCCAGTGGAGCCTCCGGCGGCCAGTCTACGGTCTCCGCCAGGCGCCCCGCGAGTGGCACGACACACTGAGGACTACGCTTGCGGCTCTTGGGTTTGCTCCTTCCACTGCTGACCCGTCGCTGTTTCTCCGCACCGACACTACTCTGCCGCCGTTCTACATCCTCGTGTACGTCGACGACTTGGCTCTTGCTACTGCTGACACTGCTGGACTCGCCCACGTGAAGTCGGAGCTGCAGAAGAGACTCACGTGCATAGACCTGGGTGAACTGCGCAGCTATCTTGGCTTGCAGATCACCCGGGACAGAGCACAGCGCACCATTACCTTGACTCAGTCACACATGGTGCAGCAGGTCCTTCAGCGCTTCGGCTTCACGTACTCCTCGCCTCAGGCCACTCCTCTGTCTACTCGCCACTCGCTCTCAGCTCTGCCTTCGGATGAGTCCGTAGAGCCGAGTGGCCCGTACCCAGAGCTTGTTGGCTGCCTCATGTACCTGATTAACCTGCACTCGACCTGACTTGGCATACCCTCTTAGCATCTTGGCACGCTATGTTGCTCCTGGGAGACACCGACCAGAGCACATGGCTGCAGCTAAGAGGGTGTTGCGCTACCTGTGCAGTATGTCGGGCATGGGGCTCGTGCTTGGAGAACGGGCTCGAGTTGTCCTCACTGGTCACGCAGACGCTTCTTGGGTTGACGACTTGGCTACGCAGCGGTAGTTACAGGGTTACACCTTTAGCCTTGGTTCCGGCTCTGTTTCGTGGCGGTCTACCCGCTCGTCCTCTGTTCTCAGCTCCAGTTGTGAGGCTGAGATCTACGCTGACTCACCTACCTGCTGACCGACTTGGGAGAGGCGCCTCGTTCTCCTCCAGTTCTGTACGTCGACAACAAGGCCATGCTGGCCTTGTGTCAGGAGCACAGACTGGAGCACAGAACGAAGCACATTGCTCTACGTTACTTCCTTGCTCGAGAGTTGCAGCAGCGTGGTCAGCTTCGTCTTGCTTACGTGGCCTCTCGGGCCAACACTGCTGATACCTTCACCAAGGCACTTCAGCCTTGTGATCATCAGCGTTTCTGTACTATGCTAGGTCTTGTGCCTACCAGGCCTCACTTGCTTACTTCTTGACTTTGGTTGTACTGTGATCTATATATACCTGCACCTGCTTGCTTACCCCTGCTAGGTTGAGATCACTGTCTTGCTTGTTCACCTTGATTTATCATCCTGCATGTGAACTGGTCTTGTGGCCTTGAACTTGTGCTCAGAATGTGTGGTGACATTGTGATCCACCCTGAGCTTGACCTTGCCTTGTTCTCTTGGTTGTCCCCCACTTTACCTATGGGGTTGTGTTAGAACTACATTGTAGGCTGTAGTGGGGTACACAATATGGGGTACAACTCTTTTAGGTTTTCATACTTGTACCCACTTGCTTCCTAGTTGATCCATTCCCTCGTTCATTCTTCATATGTAACTCCGTAACTCCGCCTGCCGCTGCTTGAGTGCCTTCTCCTGTTGCTCCCGTCTAGCCTGATAAAGGAACAAACACAAGAAAAGAAAAATAAAATCATGGGCACCACCACGCTCATACTATAAGCATTAACTGATGGTACAGAAATGTTGCATTAAACGGTACACAAACCACCACGTATCTGCTCTCACCTGTTCCCTCAGGACTGACTTCCTAGCTGCTAGGTCCTCCGCCTCCCAAGCTTCCTTCTCGTCTGCACGCACCGAGAGAGCCCAAGGCCACCAGTCGAGCAGATACCGCATGACAAAGGGGGTAATAAAAATATGGGGATTCGATTGAGCATGCTGGTTATGCATATTCCGTCCTCCTAAGGTTGGTAACTGGGAAGAGGTGACTGCAAATTAGCTCATGCACATCTGGAGGGGTTTCCAGTTGCAAAGCCTGGAGGGCGTCTTCTCCACCTTGGTCTTGTTCAGCCAGTTCACATGGGAACCAATTTAACCGCTTTACAGCCGATTCAACCGCTCTACACCCACTTCAATTCACAAACCTTGCAGGTCGGGCGTCTTCTCCAGCTTGGTCTTGTTCAGCTGGTTTCCAACTCCATGGAGACTAGTTGAACCCCTGTATAACCACTTCAAACCCCTCTACACCCACTTCAATTCACACACCCTGCAGATTAGGCGTCTTCTCGACCTTGGTCTTGTTAAGCCGGTTCACCACCCCATGAGAACCATTTTAACCCATTCAAACCCAATACAACCCACCTTGCAGATCAGGCGTCTTCTCCACCTTGGTCTTGTTCAGCCAGTTCACCACTCCATGAGAACCATTTTAAACCATTCAAAACCATTACCACCACCTCGTTGAGCCGCTTCTCCACCCACACGCTGCGCACCGCCTTGGGGTTGTGAAACCCAATCTGCAAAGGGACCATGCTTATATGGGAGATGAGGTGTAGCCATTGGTGTCGCTACTTTCGTACTACCACCACCTCATTCAACCGCTTCTCCACCCGCATGCTCAGCACGACCTTGGGGTTGTGAAACCCGATCTGTTAAGAAGTTATGCCCATATGGGGAATGGGGTGTAGCAATCAGTACAACCACCACCTCATTGATTCGCTTCTCCACTCGCACACCCCGCACCGCCTTGGGGTTGTGAAACCCAATCTGCCAGCAAGTCATGTTTATATGGGGGATGAGGTACAGCAACTGGTGTGATTAATTTCACAAATCACCAGCACCATCTCACTTCTCTCGAATCGCATGCTCCGTTCCGCCTTGGGGTTGTGGAAATTATTGTCATGGTTTACAGTTGGGTCAGAATTATTATTTGGAAAGGGCCGAGGTTTCTTTTGAGTGGACTCCAAAGTCGGTTGTTGTGGAAATCAATCTTTCGGTTTAAAGTCGTGTCAGAATAAGAATTTGAAGAGGGTTGAGGCTTCTAGTTTCGGGTGGGTTAGAGTCTGCGGTTAGAGAGCATTGCAACTTGATCCGCGCCCAGAATTTACCTGCCCCACGCCTCACCTGCCCCATGGCTCACCTGCTGCCCTGCGTCTCACTTGTCCAACGTCCATGGAAGCTGTCTTTCGAAGGTTGGCCCACGGCGTGTACACCACGTCAATGTTCCTCATTGCCACTCTTTTCCAGATCTCATCTGGCCCACACCTCACCTGGCCTCCCATGGCCTCCCATGGCCTCCCATGGCCTCACCTGGCCTCCCATGGCCTCACATGGCCTCCCCTGGCCTCCCCTGGCCTCCCATGGCCTCCCCTGGCCTCACCTGGCCTCCCATGGCCTCACCTGGCCTCCCTTGGCCTCCCCTGGCCTCACCTGGCCTCACCGCACCGCACCTGTTCAACGTCCATGGAAGAGGCCTTTCGCAGGTTGGCCCAGGACGTGTAGACGACGTCGATGTTGCTCAGCTTGTTGCCTACAGGTGCCGGGTGGGGGGGGTGAGTGAGAAAAGCGAGAGGAGACCGGGGGAAAGGAGATACATTTCATGAAGGCACCTGGAGATTGGCCCAGGGCGTGTAGTGTAGACGACATCGATGTTGTTCAGCCTGATGCCTGCAGGTGTGTGGGGGGGGGGTGAGGGGGATGGGGAGGGGAAGGGGGAGAGACAATACACCGGGGTTTAGACCATGTGCATACTCTACAGAGGTTGGCCCAGGGAGTGTACACCACGTAGAAGTTGTTCAGCTTGATGCCTTCAGGTGCGGTGTGGTGGGGGAGAGGGGGGGGTGGGGAGGGAAGGGGAGGGTATACATCCCTTTGCCCTTTTACCACTCCTTTGCCCTTTCACCACTCCCAACCCAGCCCAACCACCAGGATCAAATCTCAAAACTCATCCATGCATGACGGAATTGACCTTCACCAGTTGCCCCGCCTGTCCACCCACTCCAACTCCCCCCAACCACTAGAGACCGCTTCCTCCCAACCCCTCGGAAATCCACCCGTCAACTCACCCCCCCCCCCCCCCGACCACTCCCAACCGCTCTGAACCTACCCATGATGGAGTTGGCCTTGACCAGCTGTGTGCAGTCCTCCAGCATCTCGGGTGTGACGTCATCAATGCCCTGCCCCTTGCGCAGCCACAGGTACACGTGTGCTGTGCAGACGAGAGCTTGTCCACGTGGAACCTTCATACAAAGAGGGAGGAAAGGGGAAGGGAAAGGGAAAAGGGAAGGGAAAGGGAAAAGGGGAAGGGAAAGGGAAAAGGCAGAAGAGAGCTTGTCCACGTGGTACCTTTATACAAAGAGGGAGGAGGAGGGCGGGGAATGAGTGGAGAGGAAGGGGAAGGAGACGACAGCTTGTCCACGTGGAACCTTCACATAAAAGGGGAGGAGGAGGGCAGGAAATGAGTGTGGGAGGAGTGGTGGGGAGTGTGGTTGGTGTTGTTGGAAGGGGAAGGGGGCGAGAGCTTGTCCACATGGAACCTTCACGTGAACAGGGGGAGGAGGGAGGGAAGGGCGATTGTGGGGACGAGTGGGTAAGAGGGAAAGGAACAACAGCTTGTCCACCACGTGGTACCTTCACTTAAAAAGGGGGGGGGGGGGGGAAGGGCGGGAAATGAGGGTGCGGAAAGTGGTGGTCATCAATGCCTTGCCCCTTGTGCAGCTGCAGGTACAGCTTGTCCACGTGGAACCTTCACGTGAACAGAGGGAAGGGGGGGAACCTTCACAGGAGAAAGGAGGAGAAGGGCGGGAAATGAGGGTGCGGAAAGTGGTGGTCATCAATGCCTTGCCCCTTGCGCAGCTGCAGGTACAGCTTGTCCACGTGGAACCTTCACGTGAACAGAGGGAAGGGGGGGAACCTTCACAGGAGAAAGGAGGAGAAGGGCGGGAAATGAGGGTGCGGAAAGTGGTGGTCATCAATGCCTTGCCCCTTGCGCAGCTGCAGGTACAGCTTGTCCACGTGGAACCTTCACGTGAACAGAGGGAAGGGGGGAACCTTCACAGGAGAAAGGAGGAGAAGGGCGGGAAATGAGGGTGCGGAAAGTGGTGGTCATCAATGCCTTGCCCCTTGCGCAGCTGCAGGTACAGCTTGTCCACGTGGAACCTTCACGTGAACAGAGGGAAGGGGGGAACCTTCACAGGAGAAAGGAGGAGAAGGGCGGGAAATGAGGGTGCGGAAAGTGGTGGTCATCAATGCCTTGCCCCTTGCGCAGCTGCAGGTACAGCTTGTCCACGTGGAACCTTCACGTGAACAGAGGGAAGGGGGAGAACCTTCACAGGAGAAAGGAGGAGGAGGGCGGGAAATGAGTGTGGTTGGAGTGGTGGGGTGGGGAGAGGAAAGGGAAGGGGACAAAAGCTTGTGTGGACCTTCACATAAAGGTGTTCAGACGAGAGCCCACCCACGTGGAACCTTCACATAAAGGGAGGGAGCGGGGGGAGACAGGGCAGGGGAGGAAGGGAAGTGGGAGAGGAGGGGAGGAGAGGAGAAGGAAAAAAATGGGGATAGGGCGGGGAAGGAAGGGAAGTGGGGACGGCGCGGACGAGAGGGGAGGGGAAAAGGGGGGCCACGGGTACAGAGAAGATATTGTCCACGTGGAATCTTCAGAAGGTTGTACAGGAGAGGAGAGACGTGTGCAGGCAAGACATTCACTGATAAGTGCAGATGTTGGGCAGGTAGAGCATCACAAACGTACACGTGTGCAAAGGACTGCTGGACACGTGGAAAAACGTATCCCCACACTCCAGTCTCGCTACCACTCTCTCGTTCTCCCCTTAACAGCTCACACTTCACTCCCCCATTTCCCCCTTCCACCCCCCCTCTTCTCCTCCACCGCCCCCACACACTCACCTGATTTCCCTTCACCCCCCAACCATTGCAAACCCTACCGAACCCTACCGGAGATGCTGCTAGCCTCTCGTTCTTGAGGCATCTTGGCGGCTGGAGCACTTTCGGATAGCCATCATAGATTACGCTATAAACATCTTCGATACGCACCAGATGTCTTCCGGAAGGTCGTATCTGACTAGCTACTTGGATTCTGAACTTACTCACATCCATGAAAACTTATGATCGGCTTTGATGCAGCAGCTCGTCAACCTTGAAACACAAAAAAACCCGTTAAAAGCCTCTTCGCTACGCACCATACGTCCCCTCCACAATGAAAACGCACATTTGACAGGACGCCTTATCGCGAACCCTTCCAACTTTCCTAGGACAGTAATCTTCGTTATAGGCAGATTAGACGCACCAAATGTCTTCTGGAAAGCCGTATTTGATAAGCGGCTCGTCCTTGAACTTATCGAGTCCCATGTAGATGGTGAAACCAATCCTGCTTGCTTTCGAACTTATCGCCCGCTTCGGGCCGCACCTTGAAGTAAAACACCATCGTAACAAGCCGCTAACGTGGCAATTGCGGGGTGAAGGCCTCTCTCGTCAGCAGAACGAGGAGGCTCAAATAGTCAATCGTAATGCTTGGTCCGGTTAACTAAAACAACGCTGGTGATTGCCGCGTCTTGCGAAACAATGCTGGTTTGCAGAATCCAGCGACGTCAACCCCCACGCTAGCTAGTAAGCATGACATGCGAGAAACTCAGCGCCACATAGAGATTACCGCCGCATGTTGCGGAGCAATATCAGAATGTGAAAAGGCGACACGATCGTCGATTCCTAGGCTAGAAGGTCATTCATGCTAGTTGCGGAGTCTAGAGTTAAGGGTTGCTGCTGCTATGGCAATAACGGTGTCTGTTATAGCTCATGGGTGGGGTGGGTGGGGAGTTGCCAAAAAGTGTGCTCTCATATTAAAAATTGAGTGACGGCGATTGGATGGCGAGTTGCGGAACAAAATACATGGGCAACGAGTGCAGCGAATTCTCCATTTTTCGCTAACCCAACCAGTGTCACAAGGCTGCGCCTGCGACCTCCGAACCTAAACCATGGTACCCAAGCTGGGAGCAGAAGATACGGTTTGGTAGTCGGGCACCTGCCATTACCGTACCAAACTGTTTGGTTTGCAGCCAATCGCAGCTGCACCAAACCAAACCCGACAGTTTTGCGAGTGACTGTTCGGTTACCCGGCTTCAAGCGCACTACCTTTGGTCGGAAACAAGAAATTTGAGACGCAGGGGATACGACACGAAACGCTCACCATACCTATAGCACCCGTCGTGCCTTTTAGGAGAAACCGCCATAGCAGCGCTGCGACTTAGTCGCCAGACCCGCCACCTAGCCGCCAGATCCGCCACCTAGGCTCCAGATCCGCCACCTTTAATCGACGGGCGCTGCTATACGCATGGCGAAAATGAACGAGCTAGTGATAGCAGGGATGAATTTCACGTGCGTGCTGGTGGCCGTGGCGGAGTATCAGATGCCCGAGAAGGAATGCCTCCTCAATCTCCTGGCCAAGGCGCTGGGTTAGGGCATCATTCTTGGATCCACGATTCTGAAGCTCCCACAGGTAAAACGCGAATTAAAATATAGGATTATAAGGTCGGTTGTGATATGTTTTTTTTCGCGATATTAAACCTCCCACCGGTGATCAGGATTCCAAAATTGGTTCGTAAGTTGATTTAGGAACGCGATTCACGGTACTAGGGCCCCCGCAAGTGAAATGGGACACTGTGATTGGATAGCGACAGAGGCTGAGGTCCGCGACGCCGTCCCCTACAGCTCTCGTTCGCAAAGTTCCCAAAGCGAGCTCGTTGTGCGAAATCAAGCCGCAAAGGTGGTGGTGGTTTGCGGCGACGACAATTGTAGCACAGAGGGTGTGAGCACAGAGGGTGTAAGCGTGTTGGTCGAGGCAATTTAACAATAGTGTTGGTTGGGAGCGGCTTGCCGGACCAGACGCGCACAAGCCTGAACGGCTTGCCGGACCAGACGCGGCGGCGGCGGAAGACGGAGTGAAAACGGCGGCGATAGACGGAGTGAAAGTCCTCGGGAGCCCCATTGGCACGACAGCCTACTGCAGACGCTCACTCAGGGAGGTGCTGGAAGGGATTGCACTCCCGCTACGGTTGGTGAGCAGACTACACCCGCAACACGCGATGCTGCTGCTATCGAGATGTATATCTCGGAAAATCTCCTACCTGCTGCGTACGACACCCGCAGATGTATTGCCCCTCGGAGAATGGCGGGGTTGGAGCGAGAGGCTCCTGTGGACGGCGCTGAGGGCGGCCAGCATCAACGTGCCAAGCAAAGAACTGGAGCAGAGTCTGGTGTGGAGACAGGCAACGTTGCCGATTGCGTTGGGAGGAGTGGGGTTGATAGAAGGCGGAAGCACCAGCGGCATATCTCTCGTCCCTGAAGGCGGCACAGACACTGCTGCAACAGATGCCGCCCTCACCGAACCATCACCTGCAGCTGGTGGCGGAACTGGTGTCACCCACAGGAGCGGGGGGGGCGGGGGAGGGGGGTGCGCTAATTCGGGATCTGCGGGCCAAGGGGATCCTGGGGACAACACGGGCGGAAGGGGCCGCCTATAGGAGCAACTGTCGCTGCAGATAAATCTCCACCGGGCGGCGGAACTTGTCGGCGACACAAGGATGGACAGACCGGGGGAAGACAACAGGCACGATGTTAGGCTGCTCAGCCTGCAGGGGGTGGGGGCAGGGGACTGGCTGCACACCATCCCCACGCGGGGGGGTCTCACGTTCTTGCCGGGGAAGTTCGGAATAGCCCTAGGTTTCCGCCTAGGCCTGGTGCTGCCGGTGACTGACAACTGCCCATGCCACGGGGACCGGGCAAAGATCGGGGATCTTAGCTTACCAAACCACCTGCTGCGATGTGGGGAGGGGCCGGACCGCACTAACACACACAACACGCTGGTGTATGCGGCATTGCGCATGGCCAGGGAGGCGGACTATCTTGCCCTGCACGAGACCACGGTCTACTCGCAACCTATTAACCCCAAGCGAGCGAACCTGGCTTTCAAGGATAGGGAGTCAGCCGAAACGTGGGTGACTGACGTCACGGTGACGGATCCGGTCCTGCAACGCCGCGACACAAGGGCGGTGAAACCACTAGGATGGGCGGCCGAGGAGGCGGCGAGGGGGAAGAGGGGACTGTATGAGGGGCGGCCAGACTATGTGGGGGTGCTGGGGCTGGTGGTAGAGACATACGGAGCCCTAGCACGAGACACACAGCGTTTCTTGCGGCTAATGGGAACACAGGCAGCAAAGAAGAAGCATCGGCAGGGGAGGCCGACCACAGTGGCCTCCAAGCTCACCACCCACTACAGGCAGCGCTGGTCGGTGACGCTGCAACGGAGCCAGGCGAACACCTTCCTCGCAAAGTCAAACCGAGCCATGGAAAAGGCCTATCCCCAAGCCCCGGCAGACCCATGGGAACCTCGCCTGGGGGACCTGTGGCAAGTCATTGACGATGACTTGGACTGGGGACCGCCCCTAGACTGGTGAGGGGCGGGAGCTTGGGCCCTCGGGGAGGGCTCTAAGGGAGCGGAGCGGTTGCACAAGGGCAGGGAGCAACCCAGCCACTATGGGGGCCGTGTGCCGTAGAGGTCCTTAGGGGTTGGGATAGTGGCTAGGCCCTTGTCTTGCTTCTCCTGGCATGCATGTATTGCCTGGTTGTACCCCGTATATTATTAATGAAGGACTGTTTGTTAGTATGTTTGTTTGTTTGTTTTTTGTTTCCTGTTTAGTTTGCTTGCTGAATCTCATAGCTAGCTATTACACCTGCATGCCTGTCTTGGGACTCTTTTCAATATAAGGACCATTCGAGAGAGAGAGAGAGAGAGAGAGAGAGAGAGAGAGAGAGAGAGAGAGAGAGAGAGAGAGAGAGAGAGAGAGAGATGGCATAGCTCAGTCCTTAGCCATTTCTAGGCCTCTCTTCCCTATGACCTAGTCCTTAGCCATTTCTATGCCTGTTTCCTTAGTATAAAGGCTCTGGATCTAGGCTTGTGAGCTCATTATTCACTGGTGAGTTAGGTTCACTCTCCAAATCCGGCGGCTCCAGAGAGCGAGAGAGAGAGAGAGAGAGAGAGAGAGAGAGAGAGAGAGAGAGAGAGAGAGAGAGAGAGAGAGAGAGAGAGAGAGAGAGAGAGATGGCATAGCTCAGTCCTTAGCCATTTCTAGGCCTCTCTTCCCTACGACCTAGTCCTTAGCCATTTCTATGCCTGTTTCCTTAGTATAAAGGCTCTGGATCTAGGCTTGTGAGCTCATTATTCACTGGTGAGTTAGGTTCACTCTCCAAATCCGGCGGCTCGAGAGAGCGAGAGAGAGAGAGAGAGAGAGAGAGAGAGAGAGAGAGAGAGAGAGAGAGAGAGAGAGAGAGAGAGAGAGATGGCATAGCTCAGTCCTTAGCCATTTCTAGGCCTCTCTTCCCTACGACCTAGTCCTTAGCCATTTCTATGCCTGTTTCCTTAGTATAAAGGCTTGTGAGCTCATTATTCACTGGTGAGTTAGGTTCACTCTCCAAATCCGGCGGCTCCAGAGAGCGAGAGAGAGAGAGAGAGAGAGAGAGAGAGAGAGAGAGAGAGAGAGAGAGAGAGAGAGAGAGAGAGAGAGAGAGAGATGGCATAGCTCAGTCCTTAGCCATTTCTAGGCCTCTCTTCCCTACGACCTAGTCCTTAGCCATTTCTATGCCTGTTTCCTTAGTATAAAGGCTCTGGATCTAGGCTTGTGAGCTCATTATTCACTGGTGAGTTAGGTTCACTCTCCAAATCCGGCGGCTCGAGAGAGCGAGAGAGAGAGAGAGAGAGACTCTTGATCCTCAGCGACTACTCCACCTGTATGCTGGCTGCCCTACTTCGGATCTCCAAGCTGCCTAATTGCGCGGGAGCATGGCGGGTCCTCTTGTTCCTGCCACGTCTCACGCTAAGACTCAGCCGGCGATCGAGCTCTAGGTGGAAATTGCTGCGGGAACAGATGCATCTGTTCCGATGTGGCCACTGGACCCAGTTGTACACTGACTACTTGGGGTCAATGCACCTGGCCGAACCACCTCAGCACCAGCGAGACCCACTGGGAATCTGCTCACGTGCGGAGGGGTTGGTGAAACGGGGTAACCTGCGAAAGGCATTAGCAGCCCTACAACCCTCGCCTGCAGCACCTGCGACAATTGCGACACTACAGCAGCTGGAATTGAAACATCCCCAACCCCAAAATGACCTGCCCGAGTGGGTGCATACCTACAGCACACCCACGCAATTTTCAACCACTCTAGAACGGTTTTCCGACGTCCTTGGAGAATGCCCCAGGGGTATTGGGGCTGGCCCATCGGGGTCAACTTTTGAACACTACCGCGATCCAGCGCTAAGTAACATCGAGGTACTAGGGCACCTCCACTCCGCCGTTACGCATCTTCTCTCGACAAACCTTTCCACTGAAGTCGCAGCACTACTTGCCCCGTCCCGCCTTATAGCATTCGCCAAACCAGGGGGGGGGGTACGTCCCATTGCGATTGGAGAGTCATTGCTCAGGCTGGCGGCGAAGGTGGCGCTCTCAGATCTGCAAGGAGAAACGCGGATTTTTTTCCTACCTCAGCAATTTGGTGTGGCAGTCCCTGGAGGTGCAGAATTTGTCATCCATGCTGTCCGAGACCTCACCACGATGCGACCCTCCAGCCTAGTACTCCAGCTTGACATCGAGAACGCATTCAACTCAGTAGAGAGGAGCGCGTTCTTCAACGCACTCATCGGCTCCCCGCTAGCTCCCCTAATCCCCTTCACACGCTCTTTCTATGCAACATCTTCACCTCTGCTGCTAGACCCATGCTTCAATTCCACGGCACTCACCAGCGGAAGGGGAGTCAGACAGGGGGATCCCCTCGGACCCCTGTTATTCGCAGCATCTATCCAGCAGCACCTCAGGCACGTAGCAACAGAGCACCCGGAAGTCACGGTCCTCGCGTACGCCGACGACATAACAATGATTGGACCCGCGACGGCGACGCTAGAAGCACTCACGGAGCTCACGCCACTGCTGGCACGAGACGGTCTCACCTGCAACTTTAGGAAGTCGTCGGCGTGGTCCTCCGTGCCGCTAGGAGGTGACGTACTCCCCGAGGGCCTCCCCCTCACCCACGAGGGGGTACGGGTGCTGGGAAGTCCGGTGGGGTCGCAGAGCTTCTGCTCTGATTTTGTCCGCAATACCCTGACAGACGCGGCAGCCCCCTTGGGCTCTCTGGCGTCCATCCACCCACAACACGCCCTCCTGCTACTGTCTCGTTGCATCAGCCGCAGAGTCGGCTACCTGCTGCGCACTACCCCAGCTGACGTCTTACCGCTCTCAGGTGGGCGCACATGGTGCGCCGAATTACTGAACACCGCCTTGACCGCCACCAGCATTCAACCGCCCCGCCGAGAAGCCGAGTTCAACTTCCTCCTCCGTCAAGCAACTCTACCAGTCGCCCTGGGCGGGCTGGGCCTTACAGACCCCACAACGGAAGCAGCACTGGCCTACCTGGCATCAACGACAGAGGCGCTACGGTTACTCCGCTCTCTTGACCTACCAGCAACGGCGGCACTGGGGGCCAACAACAACACTCTGCAACCGTCCGCCGTGCACTCGGTTACCATTCAGGACATGGAGGGGCGCCTGCCACCGCTGGCGCTACAAAACTTACGTGAGGAGCAGCAAACCCCGTCCCAAGATCCGCTGCAACGTGCCCTGTCTCAGGAGGTGCATGCGGCAAAGGCCGACGCCCTAAGAGAGGAGTCACGCACAATATAGTCAGCCCCCGAGATGGGCCACACGCTCCGCCTAGTCAGCCTGAGAGGAGAGGGAGCGGGTGCGTGGCTGCAGGCACTACCCTTGACCCCGGACCTCTGCTTCTCACCAGGTCAGTTCCGAGCGGCCCTGGCCTTCCGCATGGGCATCCGACAGAATGTACCAACCGTGTGCGAGTGCGGAGAACTCGTAGCCGACTGCAGCCTACCCAACCACTTACTCCGCTGCAGCACAGGCCCCGACAGGACGCGCACACACAACCAGCTGGCCTTCGCCATGGCTAAAATGGCGAGGGAGGCCCAGCTGGTGGTATACCTGGAGAATGCGATGTACTCACCTCCGGACGACCCGAAGAAGGCAGACGTGATTGTACAAGACCCGGACAGCGGAGAAACCTGGATCACAGACACTACTATCACTGACCCTGTGCTGCAGAACCGAGACCCCACAGCCCGCAAACCCCCAGGCTGGGCTGCAAGGGAGGCACAGAAGCGGAAGGAGAGGGACTACTACCGACACACTGAACACGTGGTGTTCTGCGCCCTGGCCGTCGAGACCTATGGGGCAAACGCGCCCCCCACGACGGTGTTCCTGAAACTGCTGGCCACAGCAGCAGCTAGGAACCGCTTCAGGGCCAGCCCCTTGGCGAAATCCGCCAAGAAGATGGCCTGCCACTTCAGCCAGCGCTGGTCAGTGGCCCTCCAGCGCTCCCAGGCGAACGCCCTGCACACCAAGGCCAGGGCTGGGATTGAGGCAGCACACCCCCAGATGGCAGCGGACCCCTGGCCGCTGCACCTGGGGGACATCCTCCACACTCTGGAGGGCTAGGGGGTCACTCGGGGGGGGGGGGGGGGAAGAGGGGTGAGTTGATGGGCTTATGGGATTGAGGTTACCATGGATAGAACTGCATGTCTGTACCCCTGCTGAATTAATACAACGGACCATTTGAGAGAGAGAGAGAGAGAGAGAGAGAGAGAGAGAGAGAGAGAGAGAGAGAGAGAGAGAGAGAGAGAGAGAGAGAGAGAGAGAGAGATGGCATAGCTCAGTCTTTAGCCATTTCTAGGCCTCTCTTCCCTAGGACCTAGTCCTTAGCCATTTCTTTGCCTGTTTCGTTAGTATAAAGGCTCTGGATCTAGGCTTGTGAGCTCATTATTCACTGGTGAGTTAGGTTCACTCTCCAAATCCGGCGGCTCGCGCCGGCCGCCTTCGGCGGCCGCCGCTCGCCAGCGCAGCCTTCGGCCGTGCTTGAGGGGTGGCAAGAGTACAAGCAACGCAGGACCATTAACAACATGTGGTACATCAGGAGCCCCTAGCAGGGTAGAACAAGAACACCACCCCCCTGGCCAGAGGATTCCGGCATGGGGAAGCCCAAGGCAAGGGCCAACACCACGGGAGCCTGCAAGGGAAAACCACCTGTTACTCGGCGAGGATCCAGCATAGCCTCCCGTCCATCCAGCGTAGGACGGATGCGGCTGCTGACACAAGACCGAGGGGGCTCCCCCGGGCAGACTCAGCAAGCCTTACCATTGCCCGGGGACCGGGCCCGAGCGCGGCACCAGGAGCGCCCGGCACAAGGCCGATCAAAGGCAGATAGTGCAGCATCTCCGTTGCCGCTGCCACAGCCGCAGACCGCTCCGTTGGCAACATCCCCCCAACCTCCAGGCCTTGCCGCGCCAAACACACGTGGAGCTGGTCCAGTACGTATGACAGCAACGTTAAGCACGTCCCCACGTGCACAACGCGCTGCTCGACGAGGGGAGGCGTCGCGGCTACAGGAGCAGCAGCAGCGTGAGGAGCAGGCAGGACAGGAGGGAGGGGCGGCACTGGGGGCGCTGGCGGATGGTGTGGCTGACGCTGGGGCAGAGGAAACGGGTTTACGGGAGGATGCTGCTGCTGTGGAGCCTGGTCTGACGCTGGGGGTGGAGACTGTTGTGGCTGCGGCGGCTGATTCGACGGGGGTGGAGCGGGTGGCGCGGCCAGCTGCCGAGACTGCTGCCGCCTCTGACGACGGCTTAGTCTCGCCCGCGGCGGCGCGGCCGGCGGCGACGCCACCACCGGCGGACGAGGGTCTGGCTGCGGAGGAGGCACAGGGGGAGCAGGGGCTGGCTGATCCACTGACGCCAGCATTGGCAGAATCCCCGCCAGCTCTCGAGGAGTCTGAGATTGCGGCGGTCGTGGCTGAGGCAGCGAGGCAACAAGGACAACCCCCGAGCAAAGCGGGCGCGCCGACTGCCGCTGAGTCCGCCGGAACGCCTGCTGCTGCCGGGGCCGTAAACACGCAGGAGCACGGCCAGGCGGAGGGTGGAATTGAGGGCCCTGCCAACGCCGTGGCTTCCGGCGCCGCCCCGGCGAGGAGGAAGACAAAGCTGCGCGCCCAGCCAGCGCCGAGGCGGCCCGGAGCAGGGCTGGGACCTGGGGCCCCGGGATCCCTCCTGGGCTGGCTTCGGCAAGGGCAGTCGCCACCAGTGCAAGCGTATTCGTTGCCATCAGCGCCACAGCCTGTGGTGGGACCCAGCATGAGGGGCAACATTGGTGAGGCTGGTCAAGCACAACAGGGCGCCGATCAGTCAAGTCCGATGCAACAACCAATTATCACACCCACGACCCAGCAGGCAACTCACCGAGAAACGCGGAGCTCGACGCGGGGCCGGGGAATAGTGTGGGGCAGGCCGTCAGGTGCGGGACGAGCGACTATGGCGACCCCCTGGGTCCCGGCTGGTAGGGGTTTAAGGTCTGCACAGGAAAGCGCGAGGGGCGGCGGCGACGGCGTACTCTCTGCGACTCCCAGCGGAGGAAGAAGGGGAAGGGGAGGGACACGCGGTAGGGGAGTTGCTCTTCTGGGAGGAGAGGCCGCGACCGCGAGATCAGGCACGTGGCGTGATCGTCACGACCGTCCAGAGCGTGTGGTTGCGCCTATGACTGGGGGCGAGGATGGTTCTGATAACTCCCAGAATGGGAGCGAGTTTATTCCGTCGCACTCTGAGGCATCGGAGGAGGTCTCGCTGGGCGATGACGAGAATCAGAATGAGTCTGCGCAGAGGCGAGTGGGGAGGGGGGAGCAAGGTGGTATGCCACATCCTCCCAACATGCCGGCAGGACAGGCCGTAGATACGCCAGCGCGGCCGTCCGAGAAATCACCCGCTGACATGGCGAAGGATGAATCTATCTGGCATCTGGCCAGCACTTGGGATATCACGCCACTTCAGCGAGCAAACCAACCGTTTCTAGTGAGACGGTTGCCTCCAAAGATCTTGGAAAGCTACACCTTGTGCCTTCTGGCACCACTGCTGCGGCTGGCCACACATCCGGACTGCGTGGGGGCATGGACCGTGCTGCAGTTCTTGCCCCGTTTGACCTTTCGACCTCTCCCAGAGCCAGTGGAAGGGAACCGCTGGTTAACGATTGAGACTCGGCTGCACCACTTTAGGCTCGGGGACCTGGCCGATCTCTACAGTGAGGCGTGCGTGATCCCCGATACTGGAGCCCCGACACGTCATCAGCCGGACGAGGCAGGCCTGTGTGCGCGAGCAGAAGGGCTGATAAAGAAAGCCAACATTTCAAAGGCAGTGTCCGCGTTACAACTGACCCCGCTGGCGGAACCAACACCCGCTACACTCGCTGCCTTACAGGCGAAACAGCCTGTCGGGGAAATACCAATTCCGAGTTGGGTAACCAATCGCACCGGCGCACCCGCCTCGTCATTGAACCTGACCCCAAGCGACGTTCGCGAAATCCTCGCGAAGTGCCCGAATGGTGTTGGAGCTGGGCCCTCAGGCACCTGTTTCGAGCACTTGAAGGACCCGACCCACTGCAGCGCGGAAATCCTCCTACTCCTCACCAAGGTCATCGGCCAGCTTCTCAACAGCGCACAAACGAGAGAGATACGGGACATCCTCCTTCCGTCCCGGCTGATAGCACTCGAGAAGCCAGGGGGGGGCGTACGACCTATCGCTATAGGAGAGGCCCTGCTTAGGGTAGCAGCGAAGGCAGCAGTGCGCGAGTTAGCCCCAACGATTCGCGAATTCTTCCTCCCCGTCCAGTATGGTGTGTCTGTGCCTGGTGGGGCCGAGTGCGTCATCCACACTGTACGAGCTTTGCTCCGAGAACACGATCGCTACGTTGCGCTTCAGCTGGATGTGGAAAACGCGTTTAATTCGGTCGAGCGGGAGGCGTTTTTCTCGGCACTAGAGATCTCGGACCTGCATCAGTTGCTGCCGTTTGTCGGAACGCGTATAACTCACCCTCGCGTCTTCTAGTCGACCCGGCCCTAGGAGTGGAGCACATCATGAGCTCCCGCGGCGTGCGTCAGGGTGATCCCCTCGGTCCACTCCTCTTCGCAGCGGCGATCCAGCTGACCCTGATGTGCGCGGCAACTTCGCACCCAGGAGTAGCGGTCATAGCGTACGCCGACGACATCACAGTGGTGGGGCCACGGGAGGATGTGTTCAATGCCTTCGACGCCATTGTCACCGAGCTGGCAAAGCGCGGGCTGCGGTGCAACGTGGCGAAGTCATCGGCGTGGGGACCGCAGGAGGGGGATGCGGGGCAGACGGGACTGCCACATGGTCTGCGGATGAGTTCGGAGGGGATCAAGGTGCTTGGCAGCCCCATCGGCACACCGGAGTACTGCACCGCAGAGGTCCGACAGGCGCTCACCAAAGCATCGGCACCCGTCCCTCTTATTGCGCAGCTACACCCACAGCACGCCCTACTACTACTCTCCCGCAGCATCTCGCGCAGGATCTCATACCTACTCCGCACCACACCGAGCAGCGCTTTGGAACGAGAGGAGTGGTGGGCCTGGAGCGAGTCACTGGTGGGGGCGGCGCTCACTGCAGCCAAGCTACGGGTCCCGGCCAGTGAGCTGGAACAGAGCCTCCTGTGGCGACAAGCAACGCTGCCCGTGCGCCTCGGGGGGCTGAGCATCATTGATCCCGTCTCTGAGGCACCAGCGGCATATATTGCGTCCTTGACAGCAGCACATCACCTGCTTCAGCAGATGAACCTGCGGGAACAGGAGCTGCTAGCGCGGGCGGAGACACTTCTGTCCAGAGAGTGGATCCCACCGCCCCCAGCGTCAAACGTGCTGGTTACTCTGGAGGAGGGGCTGCCGGCGGAGGCGCGGTCGGCACTACAGTCCTACAGGGAGGGCCCTCTAGGGCAGGGTAACTTGCAGCTTCTCCTGTCCAAGCACATCAACGCGGTCCAGGCCAGGGAGCTGCTGGCTGACACTATGGTTGACAAACCAGGGGAAGACCAGGGGCACGGGGTCCGGCTGGTCAGTTTGAAGGGAGTGGGAGCCGGGGATTGGCTACACGCAGTGCCAACGAGGTCTGACCTTACATTTGCCCCTGGTCAGTTCTCGTTGGCGCTCGGTTTCCGCCTCAGGATGGCCTTACCAGTCACAGTCAAGTGCCCCTGTAAGCGCAACAACTCGGACATCAATGACACTAGTCTGGCGAATCACCTGCTCCGGTGTGGGGAAGGGGGTGATGTGGTGAGGACGCACAATGCCCTGGTCTACACGGCTCTGAGAATGGCAAAGGAGGCGGGCTTCAATACTTTCCACGAGACGTCGGTGTTTCCCCCCCCGGTCCACCGCAAGAGGGCGGACCTCGCATTCCAGGACAGGGAATCGGCGGAGACTTGGGTCACGGATGTAACGGTGACAGACCCGGTGCCGACGACGAGGGATGCGCCTGTTCGCCTAACGGAGGAGCGGGATCGGCCTGAGAGGACGGAGCGACAGGGTCAGAAGGACGCGTCCGCGGAGGCAACGCCGGATCCGGAGCAGGAGGAGGGGGCCGCGACGGAGGGACAGGCGGCGCAGACTGCGCCTGCGCAGCCGGCGCACCCTGTTGGGATGACACGGACTGCGACGGAGGTGGAGGGAGTTGCAACGGGTGGGACTGGGTGGCAGGAGCTTGAGGCTGGGGTCGATGACGAGCCTGGCCGGACAGCGGCGGGCGAGGGGGGCGGCGGCGACGGAAGGAAGGACCGCGCGCGCGGAGAAACGGATGAGTGCGCCCGTGGGGGGAGCGGTACACAGGCTCCCTTGGTCGAGCAGGCGCCATCGGGGGCGCAGAGGGCGCGGCGCCAACACCCGCAGTCAGGCAGTCCGCGACGGCTCGGAACAGGGCTGGCACCTGCCCGCCCGGGGCCGCTGGTAGGGTGGGCGCAGCAGGTGATCCTGCCGCCACAATCACTTCACGACGAGGTGGCCGGCGGCGGCCCGTCATCAGGCACAAGGAGAACCGACGTAAACGGGCACCACGATACGACCGGGCAAACGGAGATCGCGGCGGATGAGGCGGCCGCGACGGAAGAGGATGCCCAAGTGACGGCCCTGGATCGCCGTCGAGTGGGGACGGCGCGGCAGAGACTGCTACGCGAACGCGCAGCAGAGGCAGCGGGGGGAACCCCGCCGGCTAGAGCGAGAGGAGCAGAACCTCCCGCCTCGAGAGGCCGCGGAGGACGGGGAGCGCGGGGGCGGGGGGGTCTGGCGGCGGCGGTGGCTAGGGAGAAGGCCAGATCTGGAACTTGGCGGGAAAGACACGGGAGGCCTGAGAGACAAAGGGGAGAAGAGCCAATGAATGACGACCAGGAAGATGGGGACGAGGACTATATGGAGGAGGAGCAAGGTGACTCGGAGGATGCATCACTCGAGGATGAGGGGGCTATCCCGGGTAACAGGGCAAATCGGAGGGCACAGATGGGGGGAAACGAGGCTAACACCAACGAGGCTGAGTCACGTGGCGTTCCCCCCAACGAGGCAGCCAGCAAGGCACAATCGCCAGCAGACATAGCAGCTGACTCGGATGCCTGGCGACAGGTGGAAGGGTGGGATTTGGGGCCCCTATGCTGCAGCGCGCAGCCCTTCCTGTACCGGAGGCTTCCTCCCAAAATTTTGGGAGTCTACGCCTACTGCATGACAATACCCCTGCTTCGACTCGCGAAAGTTCCGAGCTGCGCTGGGGCGTGGAGAATTCTACACTTCCTGCCGAGGCTGACCCTACGAGCCGAACTCGAGAAACCCCCAGGTAACAGCTGGGGTCCAGTGGAGAAACGACTTCAGCAATTCCAAGAGGAGGAATGGGAGCTGCTTTTCTCGGAAGCTTGCATCATCCCCCCGAACCCACAACCAAGCCGGCACCAACCTGACCCCGAGGGGATGTGCGCCAGAGCAGAGGGTCTGGTACGGAAAGCAAATTTGGCGAAAGCGCTATCAGCGTTACAGTCCACCCCCCTCGCCGAACAAACGCCCGCGACACTCGCGGCACTTCGTGCTAAACACCCGTTGGCCGGTCAACCCACATCAGGCTGGGTTACCGGATATGAGTCGTCCGACCTGGCAATCGCCGCCGATGAGTTCCGAGAGGTCTTAGCTAAGTGCCCTAATGGGATCGGGGCTGGGCCTTCGGGAACCTGCTTTGAACACCCGCGAGACCCTGCGCTGGTGAACGGGGAAGTCTTCATCCTCCTGCACCAGCTCGTCAACACGCTAATCAGCAAATACCTAAGCGAGCCCCTTAGAGAACTGCTGCTACCATCGTGGCTGATAGCACTGGAGAAGCCTGGAGGGGGAGTCCGACCTATCGCAATAGGCGAAGCAATCACTAGGATAGCAGCGAAAGCAGCACTGCGTAAGCTCTCACCTGAGATCCGCCGCTTCTTCCTCCCAGTCCAGTTTGGAGTGGCCGTGGCCGGAGGAGCAGAAACCATAATACACACCACACGGGCCTTGCTGGCAGAAGACCCAACGCGAATCGCGATTCAGCTTGACATCGAGAATGCTTTCAACTCGGTGGAACGGGAGAGTTTCTTCACGTCCCTCAAATGGTCGGCGCTCGAGCGCTTACTCCCGCTTGCCCGCACTCTGTACGGCGCGCCGGCTCGCCTTCTCCTGGATCCAGGCTTCGACGAGCGCTACATCGAGAGCGCCCGGGGGGTGCGGCAGGGAGACCCACTCGGGCCCATGCTCTTTGCAGCGGCCATTCAACCGTCACTACTGAAAGCAGCAGCCATGTGCCCCGCGACAGTGGTTATGGCGTACGCCGATGACATAACGATCATCGGCTCCCCGGCTCAGGCGATCAAGGGAGTACACATCATCGCGGAGGAGCTACGGAAGTGCGGCCTGCGGTGCAACCTGGAGCAATCCTCTGCGTGGAGTCCGGCGGGTTGCTCTGACAGGCTTCCAGATGGTCTGGTGGCGGCGATTGATGGCATTCGGGTGCTTGGGAGCCCGGTGGGGACAAGGGAGTACGGGAGGAGATTCATTCGGTCAGCCCTTCGCACCGTGGCGGAGCCGCTCTCCCTCATCGGCAAGCTGCATCCTCAACACGCACTACTACTGCTCTCAAGATGCGTATCGCGACGCATCTCGTACATGCTGCGTACGACCCCGGCGGACACCCTACCCCTTATGGAATGGAGAGACTGGAGCGAAGACCTGCTATGGACAGCGCTGAGGGCGGCACAGATGTACGCACCAGCTAGCGAGATGGAGCAGAGCCTTGTGTGGCGCCAGGCGACGCTACCAGTCTGCCTGGGCGGGCTGGGGTTGATAGACCCACTCTCGGAAGCACCAGCGGCATACCTGGCTAGTCTACACGCGGCTAACTCACTGCTCCGGCAAGCGGTGATAGAACACGACAACCCTCTGCGGCACGCGGCGAACCTGCTCTCTCCCATGAGAGAGGAAGACGCCGCGGGGGGAGGGGGGGTGTCGCTCCAGGACCTCAGGAGCAGGCTTCCAGAACGGGCCCGGGAGATCCTGAAGGAGCACCACCAGAAGGGGGACGGGAAAGGGCACCTACAGCTACTTCTATCGAGGCACATCAACCAGGACAGGGCAGCGGAGTTGGTGGGCGACACAAGGAAGGACAAGCCCGGAGTGGACAACGGCCACGTGATCCGCCTCATCAGTTTACAGGGGGTGGGGGCGGGGGACTGGCTGCACGCCATCCCCACGAGAGGAGACCTCACTTTCTCACCGGGCCAGTTTGCAGTTGCGCTTGGATTTCGGTTGGGACCGCCCCTGGCCGTGACGGATAAGTGCCCCTGCAAGGGCAAGCGGTCGGACATCACAGATAGGAGCCTCCCGAACCACCTGCTGCGGTGTGCCGACGGAGGGGACAGAACAAACACCCACAACGCCCTGGTGTATGCGGCGCTGCGTATGGCTCAGGAAGCGGACTACACTACCCTGCACGAGTCAGCGGCCTTCTCGCCTATCACTAACCAAAAGCGAGCGGACCTGGTGATTCGGGACAAGGAGTCCAACGAGACATACGTCACGGACGTGACGGTCACCGATCCTGTCCTGCAGCGACGCGACAAGAGGGCAGTCAAAGCACCAGGGTGGGCGGCGGAGGACGCGGCCAGGGTGAAGCGGGGCCTGTACGAGGGGCGCCCCGGCTTTGTAGGGGTGTTCGGTTTGGCGGTGGAGACCTACGGGGCACTGGCTAAGGATACCCAGCGGTTCCTACGCCTCCTGGGCACACAGGCGGCAAAGAAGAAGCACCGGCAGGGGAGACTTACTGCCGTGGCCTCTCGGATCACGGCGCATTACCGACAGAGGTGGTCGGTCATGCTCCAGCGCTGCCAAGCGAATGCCCTGATGGCCAAGTCCAACAGGGCACTCGAGGCAGCACACCCCCAGGCAGCAGCTGACCCGTGGGAACCAAGCCTCGGGGACCTCTGGCAGGTCCTCGAGGACGGCATGGCCCAGCTACTCGACCTAGGGGAGTAGGGGGCTGGGCCGACTGCAGTTGGGCTGGCTCAACCGCAGGAGACCGCCCTCGGCTGGCCTGGGCAGGAGGGGATGCAGGCTCTGGTGAAGGTCTGAGCAGGCCAGCAGTGGTGTTGCCCCAAGGCTGAGTGTGGTCGCCTTGCAGCCTAGTATAGCAACCTAGTGCAACGGATGCCATGCCTGTGATTAAGTCGGTTGTTATCTCTGCACGCCTAGGTTAACTTGCTTTCTAGGACTGCCGCTGCCTTGCTTGTACCTTTGCAACACATCAATGCAGGACTGCTTGAGAGAGAGAGAGGGAGAGAGAGAGAGAGAGAGAGAGAGAGAGAGAGAGAGAGAGAGAGAGAGAGAGAGAGAGAGACCTGCTGCTACCGTCGCGGCTGATAGCACTGGAAAAGCCAGGAGGGGGAGTGCGACCTATCGTAATAGGCGAAGCGATCATTAGGATAGCAGCGAAAGCAGCGCTGCGTAAGCTCTCACCTGAGATCCGCCGCTTCTTCCTCCCAGTCCAGTTTGGCGTAGCCGTGGCCGGAGGAGCAGAGACCGTAATACACACCACACGGGCCTTGCTGGCAGAGGACCCAACGCGGATCGCGATTCAGCTTGACATCGAGAATGCATTCAACTCGGTGGAACGGGAGAGTTTCTTCACGTCCCTCAAATGGTCGGCGCTCGAGCGCCTACTCCCGCTTGCCCGCACTCTGTACGGCGCGCCGGCTCGCCTTCTCCTGGATCCAGGCTTCGACGAGCGCTACATCGAGAGCGCCCGGGGGGTGCGGCAGGGAGACCCACTCGGGCCCATGCTCTTTGCAGCGGCCATTCAGCCGTCACTACTGAAAGCAGCAGCCATGTGCCCCGCGACAGTGGTTATGGCGTACGCCGATGACATAACGATCATCGGCTCCCCGGCTCAGGCGATCAAGGGAGTACACATCATCGCGGAGGAGCTACGGAAGTGCGGCCTGCGGTGCAACCTGGAGAAATCCTCTGCGTGGAGTCCGGCGGGCTGCTCTGACAGGCTCCCAGATGGTCTGGTGGTGGCGATCGATGGCATTCGTGTGCTTGGGAGCCCGGTGGGGACAAGGGAGTACGGGAGGAGATTCATTCGGTCGGCCCTTCGCACCGTGGCGGAGCCGCTCTCCCTCATCAGCAACCTGCACCCTCAACACGCACTACTACTGCTCTCAAGATGCGTGTCGCGGCGCATCTCGTACATGCTCTGCACGACCCCGGCGGACACCTTACCCCTTGTGGAATGGAGAGACTGGAGCGAAGACCTGCTATGGACGGCGCTGAGGGCGGCACAGATGTACGCACCCGCTAGCGAAATGGAGCAGAGTCCTGTGTGGCGCCAGGCGACGCTACCAGTCTGCCTAGGGGGGCTGGGTTTGATAGACCCACTCTCGGAAGCACCGGCGGCATACCTGGCTTCACTACACGCGGCAAACACACTGCTCCGGCAAGCGACGATGGAGCACGACAACCCTCTGCGGCACGCGGCGGACCTGCTCTCTCCCATGAGGGAGGAAGACGAGGCGGGGGGAGGGGGGGTGACGCTCCAGGACCTCAGGAACAGGCTTCCAGAGCGGGCCCGGGAGATCCTGAAGGCGCACCACCAGAAGGGGGACGGGAAAGGGCACCTGCAGCTACTCCTGTCAAGGCAACATCAACCAGGACAGGGCGGCGGAGTTGGTGGGCGACACAAGGAAGGACAAGCCCGGTGCGGACAACGGACACGTGATCCGCCTCATCAGTTTACAGGGGGTGGGGGCGGGGGACTGGCTGCACGCCATCCCCACGAGAGGTGACCTCACTTTCTCACTGGGCCAGTTTGCAGTTGCGCTTGGTTTTTGGTTGGGACTGCCCCTGGCGGTGACGGAGAAGTGCCTCTGCAAGGGCAAGCGGCCGGACATCACAGATGGGAGCCTACCGAACCACCTGCTGCGGTGTGCCGACGGAGGGGACAGGACGAACACCCACAACGCCCTGGTGTTTGCGGCGCTGCGTATGGCTCAGGAAGCGGACTACACTACCCTACACGAGTCAGCGGCCTTCTCGCCTATCACTAACCAAAAGCGAGCGGACCTGGTGATCCGTGACAAGGAGTCCAACGAGACCTACGTCACTGACGTGACAGTCATAGACCCTGTCCTGCAGCGACGCGACAAGAGGGCAGTCAAGGCACCAGGGTGGGCGGCAGAGGACGCGGCCAGGGTGAAGCGGGGCCTGTATGAGGGGCGCCCTGGCTTTGTGGGG